ACAGTTACTTTATGAACCTGAGTGTTTATCCAACTGGGATTCACACACATTGACACATGACCCTCCCCTGCTGCTCCATCAACAAATCTCAATGCTATACATGTACCATCTTGGCTAAAATGCAGAGAAAATGAACAGGTAACATACAAGCATCGTACTGTACAAGGCATACCTTAAGTTTATGTTCTCTTCTGTTCACGATCAGAGCTGTGATCTGTTGATCCATGAAAACTAAAATAGTTGCAAGTAATGCTGGGATGGCTGCGGCAGGAATCGTCCACACAGGGTTCTTGCCCAGTGGAGGGATCACCCATCCCCTCTCCTTGGCATTTGTGGGTTGGAATTTCAATGGAATATCAAGCTTTGGTGTGTTGACACCAAATGCAAGGTCTACACCAACCATTATCATTATACTTATTAAGATGGCAAAGTCTGAGACGACTGCACGGACCTGTTATGAGAAAGAAGAAAAAAAACATTGATTGAACAAATTAAACAATTCCTGAAATATTGGTAGATTAACTAATTTTTCAGTGATTTTTCTGGTGACAAAGGTAAGGACTTAATCACTAGCTGATAAGAAAACGTCTTTGTTTTTTTCCTTCCAGGTTGTTTTTCTGTTCAACAGTCATCACAAGTTCACCACTATACCTTGCACAATCTCCCATTGAATAGTCCAGGGGAACAAGGGATGTCGCATTGATAAACTTATTAATCATAGAAGGTGACTTTATTGTCATCTGCAATCACTGTAACATGAATTTCAAAAGAATCTCACCTTTGTAGGGAAATAAGAGCTGGTACGGAATCCCTTCAGTGAAATAGCCAAGAAAAAGGTTCCAAGGGCGAGGATAACAGACAGGAAGAACACATTATCGTGACATGCATCTCCCACAAGTTCACCGCCGTATCTCGCACAATCTCCCATTGAGTAGTCAAGGGGAGTAAGGGTGGTCGCATTGACAAATGATGTGTTTGGCGATGAATGGGATGAATGCAAATCATCAGATTGCTTTGGCAAGCACAGGCAAGAATGTTCTTCCATGTAACCGTATCGTCTATAATCCGAATCTGTTGTGGGAACAGGGCTATCGTGCAGAACGTGGAACAACTTTTTGAAACCCTCGACAATGAAGATCAGTGCAATTAACGTGGCAAAGGATTCTTCAGTGAAACGGGTGAAGTATCGCACAAGCGCACTGGCGTCTGTTATCACCAAGACAAAGCAGTACAGCATTGTCCAAATGCCAATCCACAAACGAAATGGCAGATAGTCCATGCCGAATTTGTCACAGAATGTGTAAAGAATTTCTTCAAAGACTAACATAGGACCGGTCGCACCCAGAATAATAAGAGGCTGACCACCAAACAGAGAGAACAGAACTCCACCAATGCCTCCTGCGAGAATTTGCTCCATTGCAGCCTACAATGAAAAAATATATACTGTATGTACAAACATATATAACTAGCAAAGAGAAACAATTTTCTCTAGATGTCAAAAGGAGGGCAAAATCATCCTCAAAGCCGCAAAAATCAGCCACACAGCAAGTCAATTTGCCTGGTGCCCAGCCCTGATTAAAATCCACAATAAACATTTTTGGAAGCTCTTCTAAAATTACTGTTATGTTCAACAACAACAACAAGCTTTATTTCCCCTTGGTTTAACAAAAAATATTTTTACAAAGTAAGTTCTGGACATGACTTGAACCAGATTTTGCTTCTGGAGTCAGCTGCTACTTGTGTACATGCAGGGCCACAATTTTCAAGGTGTTATATAGCCCAAATGAGCACATGTACCATGTGCATGTATGGGCTGCCCCATTGGAAGGAATCAGTGTTTTTGTTTTACACATAGAGAAAATAAGTTTTAAAGGTAAGAACAGAGTACCAGTAATGGGCCCTATGCATGATCCAGTCACATGGTGTGGAATTAGCCATGTTGGGAAGCAGGTTACACAGTGGGACATCAAAAACAAAGGAAAGTCAGGCTGGACTGGTGATAGTTTCTTTGTTTTTGATGTCCCACTGTGCCAACTTGCATCCCAGCATGGCTGATTTTGTATTGTGTGACTGGATCATGCAAAGGGTCTTTTGCTATTTGGACAAGCTCCATTAACAACAACAACAACAACAACAACAACAACAACAACAACAACAACAACAACAACAAATGAAATCAGCAGGTTTGGTTCAACTTGCTGTAAATATCTGTTAACAAGTAAAGTTAAGCTTGAAATTGCTTTATTTCAGAGCATAAGGATTTCTGGGACTAATGCTAACAGCCATGACATTATTGGAGAGTTATTGTCTTCAGAACTTTTGTACCATTAACAGTATTTCCTATAGGGGGCTCCACTATGACAATAATTACTGTTAAACCCTGGATCATTGGATAATGCAATTCAAGAGCTTTCATTGGCTTAGCCATCATGGGTTATAAGCCATTATGCCATGCGCCACAAATATGGTAGGTGTACACATGATTTTTGGGGGCATTTTTATTTTTATTTTAGTCTAGCTTTCTTTATTTTGGAGATAATTTTTATTCCACTCATGCTTGTTTGACATGAGATGATTAAAGCCATCTACAATTTTATATCCAACACATGCTTGAGGAATAATTGTTGATTATATTAACATACTGAGGTTCAAAGAACTCAAATTACCATATTCTTCCCTGTCTTTGTTCCCATTAACCCTCCAAATGTAATGATTGGTGTGAGACAAGCAAAGTAGATAAAGATGATCGACGCAATGCACTGAGGGTTGAGGGCATCCTTAAAATCACTCCAGTACCAAGGAGCTCGGCGCCTGATATCAGCAAGAAGACCTCCACACAACCTATCGGGTAGTTATTAATAATTATTTGTACTGCACCATTACTTTGGGCAAGGCTTATGTACCCCATGGTGTAACAAGAAGGAATGATGACAATTACTTTGGATAACAGCTAGATGACTAGTCACAGTTATTGTTTGAGCCATCCTCAACACTTTTCTCCACAAAGGGAGAATTTCTTTTCAGCAGTTAACTAATTGGAAGACATCGTAAGACAAAGTTTTAGCCAAATAAAACACAACTGATGTAAAAAACACTGTAAAAATTTCCATCATACAAAGTCATGTAAGTATAACAAGCCTGCGAGTTCAAGGAACCTAAGAGCTTCTTGGCAAACTGTAACCGTCAGAACATTTCATTCCGTCATTATGCACTCACATTACTATCTAACTTTTTTTTTCCTCTAACCTTCCTGTCTTCTGAAGCTGTTCTTCTCTGTCGCCCGCAGGGTCATGCTCTTCTTCATCTCCATTACCTGCAGATTTAGCTGACTCAAGCCGTTTACCCTGTTCAGGTATCACATCAGGGGGTTCAATACGGATAGAGGGATCCCATTCACCAGGCGGCAACACCGTCACCTGAAAAACAATTTAAATAAAATTGTAAGAGTATAAAAGTCAAACCCTTTTACATGAAGAATTTTCCAGAACTTGCTCAGACCTTCAGTAGATTTCCCAATTTTAAATGCCTAAGCTGCCTTGCAAGTGTAAGAACAATATTATTGCTCTTCAATAAATTCTTTGACACATTTTGCAAATATTATTAAATTTTCAAACTAAATGCAAAATAAGAAAAAACAAACAAACAAACAAACAAACAAACAACAAACAGTCCAAAGTCCTACGCTCTTACAAGTTGAGTTAGATCGATTAAGACTACAAAGGGCAAAAAACATACCTGCATTAGGAACTCATCGATTCCAGCCAACAAGTCTTCACGGCAGTGAGCCTTGTAAGCAACTTGATGAAAAACCTATCACATAAACAACATGTCAGTTACCGTACTTAAGCAATATTAAAACAAAAGAATTGAACTGAATACCTCTCAGAAGAGGACTTCTCCTTTAAACAGTAGGTCATGTCATACCAAATGGCAAAATAATGTACAATGCTTGCAACAAAATACATTATTTTTATCACTCTTCTAAGCATTACCCTAACATGTAAGCCTTGAATGTTGACCTGTGTTCTGTAAACAGGATGATCTACCAACATGAATTTAACAAACACTTACCTCATCAGACATCAGTGTTGCTATGGCACGTCCGACTTCATAGTACCGTCCTGGAGTGCCAGGAGGTCCTAACATGAAAAAGATAAACCGTGTGGGTACTGGCACTTCAGTAAGGTCACCCAGAAGAGAAGCATTCTCCAGACGCACAAATGCAGTCACTGGTTTCTTCAAGAAATCTAACTCTCCAACAAGGACATTGGATGCTTCTGCTCCAGCAGGAATCTTCTTCATGAAGTTGGCATCAAACTGAAATGAGAATCTTGCATTTAGATCAAATGCAAAATGAAGTTATTGTACTTTTAGTATCACCATAATTTAAAAACTTCATTCAATAGGAACTTCATGCAACATTCAGAACACAAAATATTCAATGTTTTCAATTGCTTGCATGGTGGTTAAAAGTTTTAAGTAAAGAGATAAATTTGCAAGAAATGCTACAAATAGAAACCATCGTAGATGACAGAAAAAGGCATTAGATATAGCACAAACAGGGTGGTAAATTATCCCAGTCGGCAGTTTTTAATAAAACCAGGATTTCACGGTTAATGATATACCAGAACATCTTTCAAGATAATTCTTGTTTTAGGTTTCATTCTGTGTGCACATTCTCAATGCTAAAATTTTAGTTCACTAGTAGATTTATGTTTCTTACTGAAATTCATTGGGTGGAGAGTATACATGCCTACAATAATTAACCACTCAGTCATAAGCAAAGAAAAGCAAATGGCAAAATTTTGCTAATATTAATCACAGCCTGATCAAAGCATCAAGGCAACCACAAGCTGTTTTGCACCAGCTGTTCTCTTCTGTTTTGAACATTTTGAATTTTAATTAGTACAAGCTGAGCAACAATCAATGAAGTATGATAATGAGCGATAAGACTGCAGCTTGAGTTACCGTTTCTAGGCCAGTATCTGATTCTGATTGCTTCACATCACCATTCTGTCCACTCTCCTTCTCTTTTCCCACTAAATCTGCAGCTGATGGCAAATGAGGGAATTCTCCACCATTGTGATCTTCTGCCACTACCTCCAAGGTTTTAGGAGCTGTTGTCTTTTGCGAGGAGTCTGAACGTTTTAACATTTCACTAAGACCTGCTGATGAGGCTTTCTTTGCAAATGATCCAAAGCTGCTCATGGTAGAACTTTTCTTTTTCGAGGATTTCACCCCCTGGTGACGATGCTTCTTCAAGAGTACTTCGCGAGCTCTCTGTCTGTTATCTTGTTCCAAGTAATTTTTATTCACCATATCATCAAGGACAAGATCTTAGAGAAGAAGAAGAGTCATTACAAATACATTAGACCCTAAAGAGGCTCAATCATGGCATTTTGAGTTATTTTTGCTATGTACAGAATTACCTTCAAATTGATGGAAACCCTCCAGCGTGAAAATAATAGTATACTAAGATAGGGAAACATTACAAAGATACTAATAAACCATAAAGAAACAAGGATGATCAAGGATGTAGAAGACTGACATGGATTACAAGCGATGAACTTGAAAAATTTAAGATATACTTTTCGAGACACAGGAACTGTGACGTAGCTCCTCTAATCACTCTTTGAAATCAAAAGTTTCAAATAACTCAAATGGAAAATAACACGCAAGTTGCTTCAATCCATTATGAGAATGGGTAAAAGGTTATTCTATCAGATACTAACCTGCAATCTGAGGTAAATTGCTTGCGTTCATGTCCAACAGAACTGTTCCACGTAGAAGGGCACTTCTCAGCTCAAACAGGCTATAGAGAGACAGAGTACCGACATGCGGCTTACTCCAGCGATCTCCACCTTCTTCGACAGCCTCTTCAAATTTCAGCCACCGTGCCATTTCCCTCCACTCCTCATTTCCATCTTTGTCGCATTGATATGTTGCCAACTCCGTGAACATCTTGTGTTGTTCCTGTTCATTTTCTTCACCACCAAGAATAAAGCGTACTTTGTCTATCGGCAATGAGGATGTTGCGGTATCTGGAAAACAAGCATATTGAATTATTTGGTACAGTGGAACCCCATTAATCTAGTCGTCAACAGGCCACAAAAAGTCTGGTTATATTCAAGGAGTTCTTTAAACAAGAAAATGACTGACAAAGCTTTTGTTCAGGCCAGAATAAAGTGGCCGCATAACGGTGTGACCGCAATACATGGTTCCACTGTCCCACAATAATAATGGAAAGGAAAGACTTTTTGGAGCCTAGTTGTTAGACAGGTTCACGCATGACTCTGGGTTATTTAGCATGAAGCAGTTAAGTTTTGCCTCTCCCATAAAAATTTGGATCAGATACATGAACTTTTCCATTGCTGGTCGTATCCCTCTTAGTTGCCGCAGCACCAATGTATACCCCTGTATGAAGGTCAAGAGTCTTTCTTGAAAGCATAACATAAACACAATGACCCTGGTCAGAATTTTGACCCAGACACCTCAATCTAGAGACCACAATGCTGACCATCAAATAACCACTGATATATTTGGTCCATGTTCACCTAAAATACACCTATATTGCAGGCTAAAATCAAAAACGTCCTGTCTTTTCCTCAGTCCTCCAAAGATCTGGATTGTGATCCAGAATTGATGTCTATGAGATATTTGAACTGATCATCACTGCCTTTTATTAACAGTTATTAACAATTAAAAGCTGAACACCAGAAGCAATTATTATTAATTATAAAGTGGTTTTTAATCAAATAAAGGGAAACAGGGTATTTACAAGCAGGATGGTTGGCTTAAATTAACACAGTCGGCTTGTACATTTTAACGAAAATTACAAACAAATTTAAGAATAAACCCCATGTAGAGATCTACAAAAACAAACTAAGAAAATACCAGTATCTAGTTGTAGAAGTCATTCAACTAGTTTCCAACACATTGTAAGAACAACCCAGAAAATATAAGGTAGGTAAGATTGCCTCAAAACTGCATTATTATGCCTTCTTTCAGGCAGAGTTAATTGTTAATTGAAAACAACGCGTTAATTATTCCAATCAATTAACTATAGCCCCTGGAGAAAATTTTTCGTGCTACAATTTGTAGCAACAAGATAGGTACATTTTAGATTGGTTATTATGTAACTACAGTGAAACAACAATTACTTGGTCATAGAACGGAAAAGCACAATCAGTTTCAAGGAAGGAATTCTCAAACAATGATAGATTGTGCCTAATGGCCTGCTGTGAGGTTGAACACCGGGAAAAACAAAACTCGATTACAACAACTACCCTTTGAGTAGAGCAACTCAACCATATATTTAAACTGCGTGCTCCAAAAATTCATTCAGAGCTGTACAAGTACATGTACTGTTTACCAAACGACAGGTTACCTTGAAAGCAAATTCAGCATGTACAAAATATATGCAATTTTATTAAAAACCTCAGGTGAAGAAATTCTTGAAAGAAGTTGTTCAAAGAAAAACTAACGTGCCCACAAAACAAAATTTATTATCGCACGTTTTTGCTGTACATATACGAGAGCAATTTTGTGCGTGGTTGATACTTGTGAACATTGGCCACTTCACAATACAAAAATAATTTTCAGTATTTGAGTTTCCACATGGTAGATAAAAGTTCTTCAAACGTCAGACGCACTTGATTGAGGTGAATCGTATATAAGTTAACAACAACGATGTAATGGGGACTTTATATTACGCACATGCTTCACTTAATGAAACTTCAAGATGATAACGAAATCATTGCTAGTCAATGCGATTGATATTTTGGGCTTCAAAAAAATCTACAATATGAGACTGAAGCGTTTTAACCAAGGAGCACAGAAATCAGCTTCTTTCCCTCAGCAATATAAGTTGTAACATGTGACATAAAGAAATGTGAAACCTGAAGAAATCAAGTCAGTTTCGTAATGTTCGATGAACAAGTTACCGGTATTGAAGAGGATTATTGACAAGTAACACGAGATAAAAAAGCTTGTGACAATGGAAAGATTCTAATTTATTCGTACAACACTTTAAAGGTTTAGTCATGTCGATCCATACAGTTTAATAAAAGTTCCACGCTCCGCGTTACAGCGGTAGAAGCAAATTCGCCCGGCCTTGCTACTCACATTTACTCTATAATATAAACACACTTCGCTTAAAAGAATTTTCATTTCTCCCAAACCTTCCTCCTTCAACCACAAAGGAAACGAAAAATCCCCCATGAGATAAAAAAAAACATAATGTATGTCTTATATACATAACCTTTACAGAAATAACCAGCAAGTGTAAACACAATTTCTCACCTGACTCGGTAGAATCGAGTGTGAGGGATCTATGTCTTCGCCGGTGATGGTGATGTCGTTGATGGTGATGGTGTTTTCTCGGTCGCAGAGGAATATGAACTCCTACATAAAACTGCCGATGATCTAGAAGAAGAAAGCAAAATAAACGGGCATGACTTTGTTGAAAATCAACACGTGATGACAAAGAAAACCTCGTCGATATAAAGTGTGCTGTACGTCGCGCGCGCCGGTTCCGGGCAAAACACTACTGTTCGTATTCATGCGTACTTTGATAGTCGAGTTCTCCAAAGTAACCCTTTGTGATAGACACTCCTTTATCCAGGGGCCCAGGGATTTCATCGTAGCTCTAGAAGAAATAACGAAAGTTATAATTTTTCACCCAAACAGCTTGATCACAAATTTTTTTTTTGCTATTCACCGGTTGTCTGATCTCCATGTTTCGCCCTCACGCTTTTCTGTGTGGACCTCGGTTGCGTGCGCGTCGTGTTTTTATTCAGCGCTCAGGTAGACTGGCACTAGCACTTCGATATTTGTATCAAGGGTTTATATCCAATTTACTCTTGCAAATAATTGTAGATTTTGGCATTTGAAAGCGGAAATCTTGCAGCGAAAGCCCATTGGTGCATTCAGTGAAGGTATATCGATGTTCTACGCCGTTTCCTCTTTTAACTGACAGAAAATTTGAGCCAAATTCTACTGTTGACGAAACTGTTGCACGTGAACATCAAGTGTTGTCGCTATATACGCGTCTGTGACTCGCAGGTGGCACGAAACAAACGCATTACCTTCGACCCCATCAATTTCCAAAGTTTTACATACGATATACACCCTCTCTAAATCAACCATACAAAACATTGTGTTTTTCTAGGAATCTAAGATATAAGGAGTGACGAAAGAAAAGATTTGCTCTCCGACCCAAATGTATTAAAGAAAGTTTTCTGTGGAATGTCACGCCATGAAATAAACTATATGCTATTGAATATTCAAAACTCTCAAAACTTTAACAAACTTTAAATTATCCCTTGAAATTAGCAGCATATATAATATAATGCGAATGTACTTTGTACAGATGACTATTTTTTTTTTGTAGCTAATTTGGAATATAACATACTATTAAGACAGGAAAAATATTTGGAAGTTTTATTAAATTTTCGAGCTGTACTTTGTTTTTAAAAAAATTGCCCTGCCTAGCTTGAAGTGTTAGATAATAGAATTATACTTTTGAAGAATGTCATAAGATTAAAACGAACTTAACAGAAAACACCGGCTGTTTGCAACCACAATATTCCATACTAAAATGAAATATCAATTATATGACAACCAAGTCATAAATAAATGTTCAAAACAATGTAATTAGTTCAAATGGCTAGTGCAGTGCCATTTGATGAGAGAGAACAAAGGATCTCTCCTGTATCGGGATGTCTTGTGATGTTTTAAGCTTATATAGGAAAGGTATAAAAACTCATGGCAGTTTATATAGATGACCCTTGGTTGAAAACTTGACGTCACGAATTTTATGTGCAATACTGGAGTACAGCTGCGAAATATCTCGTTTATCACTCGGCTATAAAATACAGGACCAATATTAACCCGGCTCCTCAATGCCCGGGAACCGGCTCAAAACTTGAGTTTACTTCGACGGTTTTAATAACAAGGTTTGTGGGAAAGGCAGGGAGGTCATTAAGATCTTTCTAAAGAACCTGATGGGAAATCAAACTTCATCCAACATGCTCCAGATTATATCCGTGCCGATCGACGATTCGACATGTCTCAGTTCTCAATCACTATCAGGCTTAACGACCTTGAAGACTCTTGGCTCAGAAGGCAGTCGCCACAAGATTTAAGAGTGTTCAGAGAGAGGTTGTGCGATAGAAATTCGTGTACCTTGTCATGCAATGAACGGGATTACACAACAATGAATTTCTTTAGCGGTCGCTTTTCGTTGTTTGTAATTTTACAACATCAATATCGATAGTTTCTCGCTTTGTAGTCGTGCTTATTTCTTAAATCGGCTTACCGAAAAACAAAAATAATGTTGTAAGCTTATATTTGCCGCAGTGATCAATGGGAATCTTACAAAAGGGGGTTTTGACCAACCTACTCGAACAAGTCCCTATATTAGCCGGCAGAGCGATGTCAACAATATTCCCACTCGCAGACGACATCGCTTCAAAGTGATTCTCAAAGTCTAAAAGCTGCTGTTGTGTACGTAGGTTACCTTGAATATCTATATCTTCAGTTTGCGATTGATAAAAATCCATCGTATGAGGGTCGACGGCCACATCTTCACTCTTTGTGCCCTGAAACGAAAACGGCATACAACAGAATACACGTCTGTTAGCTGAAGAGCACAATCAACTAAATCTGACTAACTGCAGAAACCGGCAACAGAACGTCGTAGCAATATAACCTTCGGAAAGCTTTTATTAGATCTCTTAAGTAATATCTTTCAACCTAATGTAAAAAGCGAGGGATAGGAAAGCTTGGAAACAACTGTTAGGCTCCTATCCAGGCAGATCAAAGATCACAACGTGGGAATCGAAGAAGAATCAGTGAAACCAACATTCCTGGCCGAGTCACAGTTGGAAATCTGATAAACAACTTACCATTCGGGGCCTATATTCTGTCGCCATAGCACTACAGAATATGACACGAACCTCTCAGAAAGACGGTTTGGTTCATTAAATTCAAGAAGCAATAAAACCTCCAAACAAGCGCTTCCCTAATTCTGGGACCTCCGCCATTAACGTTTTCGCCTTTTCGGCAAAGTCCTGTAAAGCTGCCCACCTTTGTAGATGTCATTCAAGAAGTTAAACCAATCAGATCTCAGTGTCACGCAAAAAATATGTAATTGTCTCTTTGTCCTTTGGGTAATTTGTGTAAACTAAACAACAGTGTGTTTTTGCATACGAAAAATTTGCGTAAGAAATGAAATGCATGAACGACAGATTAAATATTCATTGTTTAGAAATGTAACATTGAAGTTTAAACATGTTTGTCAGGCGAGCCTCTTGAAGACACTTACAGGTCTTTGGGAATGCTGTACTTTTAACATGAGTTCTCTGGTTTTAGATTTTGAGGCACAGGTATTTGGGTCGTATTTGATTTTGTGCTTTTTAATTAACGCCGTATTATTGCCGTTGATATTAATCTAGTCCAGCGTTTTTGGTCAATAAATATATTTTCTTTATTTTTTCTTCAATACTCATGATACTGTCCTGAAATTATACTTATCTGAAGGAAATCTACAATTATGGACAATTTCTTTTCTGGTTTGTTTGTATTTTAAGCCAAGCTAGTTCAAATCTATGCAAAATATCAGCGGATCGTTCCATGAAAGATAACCATTTCATTACATTTGGCATTTTGTTAGCTTTTCAGTGATATATTTCATTTTCACCTGTATGTTTACGGATCTAAAACTGATGTCTTATCGAATCTTTTTAGATATATTTTTTTCAGCGTTTACTTCTTATTTCTTCTGGATACTTAAAATAGCTCAGTTGAATTTGCATCTGAATGAATATTTTTTGCTACTTGAACTGTGAAATCATTTCTTGCCTCTACTAAATTTCTTTCATGTTATAATTTAGAAATTCCCGTTGTTTAGTTAAGAGGAAGAAAAACGACGTCTTCTCTAACAATTGGAGTTCTTTGGATAATAACGTCATAGTTTAAGGCGAAACGGATGAAACCACGGCAACACATCATCCTGTGTTTTGATTTAAAGGGAAATTGTTGCTTCTGCAAGGACCGTACGTCACAATGCCACCACGGTGATTAAAATGAAAAGTCACTTCCTTAACTTGACGGGAAAAAAACGTGTACTGTGTCATTCGGCTCTGGTCAGTATAGTATAATGGTCACGCAATCTTTTAAAAGTCTCAATACATCGACACGGTCATTGACAGGCATAACTAACTGCGCTGAATAGACTTTCGCTGAGTCATGGCCAAGAAACTGAAAATGTTGCGTGCAATAAGCGTAGCGTGACCTGAGGAAACTGACGTCAATTAATTACGTTCCCGCGAAGCTTGAGTGACTCAACAATACACGGCCCTTAACAACCACTCTACATTCATTAGCTCGGGCCGGTTACTTTTTACAAATCAAAAACCTGTACCTTAAGTTTAATTAAACTACATATGCTCAGCAATCCCTATAGCTTCAATGAAACTTATTAACTCCAAAGGGGCCCGTCTAACTTGCAAGGTCCTCAAATTTGCTCGGTAATTTTTAATTCGGTGGATTTAAGGGAGTCTCGCATAATCCGGGTTAGAGGCCAATACAAGTTGACGTGCTAATGACGAAGAGGTTTTTTCAAGCAGATCGCATCCTTTAGACCTTAGGACCGGGAGTATTTTATTCCGCTTTTATTAAACCGTGACAGGATCTGAGAGAATTCATCATTCCCCGCTTCCCCCCGCAGAGAGAGTGAAACAGAGAACAGAAACAGACGAGAAGAGAAGAGAAATGCACGTTTGTATTTTCCATATAACAGGCACTCTGATTGGATTATATAACGCTCGCTCCGATTGGTAGTCCAATCGCTCTAAAATGGGCTATAAACACGGTCAAGGTTATGAAGGGGCTATGATGGGTACATGCATCACTGCATTTTATTGGGTCGCTTTATTTTATCAAAAAAGAAATGTATACAAGCGTAAAATAATCGAGAAACTGTGGAAGAATTCGAAAGTGCTTATGGTAACCCCTTGCCTGCATCCCAAATAAAATTCACATAAGTTTCGAATTTTCCAATTTTCCCAAATACTTGCCTCAAACTTTCCAGGTTGTAAACACGAGTGCCATGTTAATTTTTTTAATTACAAACAAGTATCAATGACTAAAAGAGCGAATAATCATCACAATACAGTGAACAGGTCAATCGCTTGTGCGATTGATTTTATTTTTTTATCGTCACTTTTTTCAATGAAATGTTTTCACTTACATATAAAGTCCACGCCAAAATAATACGCCAGAAGATTTCCTACTGTACAAATAACTTACTCTGCTAGTCTGACGTGCAAAAGCACTGATATATATTACATCTGTGATAAATTAAACGGCTACAAAAGTACCACGAAAAAACAAAAACCAGCAAACTGAATTCAACAGCATTCGGAAACTGCCTTCATGACAAACGATCATATTTGCAGGTTTTAGGCGACCTAAAAACGCAGTGATTCGTACAGAAAAATCGAAAAGAAAAATCAAGGGCAGTGTCACACTATTCACACTTAGAAATTTTCTTGTATGTTCGTGATGAACATGCAATAAAGATGTTAATGACCATGGCGATTTTAGCAACTGTATAGTTGCCATCTCGAGGAGAACTATATTTTAGTTCCGAAATTATTCTTCTCTAGGTAACCGAAACAAGAGTTACCATAATATTTATTCCAAATGTGTTACTTAATTAATTGTCAGCAAAGCTTCACTCATCAACACTCCAACAACACGGATATGTTTCGTGCCCAGTTCCTTCACGCGTGCACGCTTTCTCTGTCCCAGTCTCCCGTCTTTACATAAGGTCGTAATCGTAGCCTTCCAGTTTAGGCAGGCGCATGCGTTGCTCGTCAAACTTTCTTTGTCTTTCTTCAATTTTCTTCTCTTGGCGTATCTCCTGTATGGTGATTTCACGTCCTCGTATAAGTTCACTGCGAGTGTGAGAAGAGACATATCGTTAGAAACAGCTGAGAACTAGGGTCGCAACAAGAATTCGTGGCCTTTTCAGCCGTTGGAATAAGTCCATTTTCGGCTAAATTTACGTTCTTTGCAAAAAGTATGACACAATGTTTCAGTTATGACTGGCAGTTTGCCGGAGCAACTTGTAAATTCAATTCAAATTTTCTCGGCCAAGTTCCGATTGAGCGTTGACAAGTTTTGTTGTCATTTTTCTGGCATAAACTGAGACAATACCACTTCTGTGCCAGAGAGGGAGAGAAAAACAAACTCCATTAAAGCCGACTATCATAGCAGGTGTAGAGAACTTTCACCTTGCCAAATTGAAAACCACACTTTCAAATTGAAAAAGGACACCTTAACTTGCAGAACAAATTTGAATTTTGAAGCGGGGTTTCAAGTTTGGCGATGAGAATTCAACAAGTCGCTAGCATGTCGCAAAGCCTTGACTTAAGTTTTTGGTTGCATCTTTTAAAAAACTAAAACCTTTACCTGAATTCTATTTCGCCATCGTCATTGATGTCTATGAAGTCCATTAAACGATCAAGTTGACGCTGAATTGAAAAAGGAAAAGAAACGGTCATGAATGAAGAAACAGCACCATCAACGACATCCACGACAACAACAAAAACAACAACAAAATCCAAAGGAAATAGCAAATGTAGTAATATACATGTACCTGTGTCATTACAAGCCCGGTTTCTTTAAGACCCGTTTTGAATTCCTCGCGGGATATCCCGCCACTGTGATCCTTGTCAAACTGGTTGAACCAGTCAACCAGGCGAAGCCGGTTATCCTGGATGAAAGTGAGCAGTATTCGCATGCCTGGAGGCATTTCCTGAAACGAGAAAAAACGTAAAAATCATGAATTGAGCACGTGTATGATGACGTCAGGGGCATCCTAAAAGTGCGAGCACTCAAGCAGAATCCTTTTACAGAATGTAAAGGACATGTTAAAATTATTGTCACCGCAACATTTTAACACTTTCGGAGCAAAATTGAGGGGGTGATCTGAGAGCATTTTTAATCGCGAAATTCAAGATGTTGGTTTTGGGGGCTCTTGCCAACCCTTAAATTTGACGATTTAAAACTATACCCATATATTACTCTCAATATTTTACTTAGCGTACTGAAACTTAACAGTCTTTTTATCCTGGAAGTACATTCCCAGTTGTTCGTCGTGCAAGAAATCTCGACACAACGATTATAAATCAACGACACATTAAATTTCATTGTCTGAAAGTTACCATATGTGATGTTGTTCACTAGAACCACTCTCATTTAATAAGAAAAAGTTGAAGGCGGAGAAATTTAGACTTTCAAGGCAGAAATCCTATGAAAAATAGTAAAATATATTAACTGAGTGTCACTCCGGCACCACGGGGAAATATAACGGCAAAACGTATAACTGCCGACAAGTTTTATCAGTTAACAATACAGAAAATTGACGGATATTCACTTTACGTTTATACTTTGGAAAAATAGCATCTGCTCAAGCCTTAAATATATAGCACCTGCCATTTCCGTGCTATTAGAGAAGTAATATTTAGTAAATTGCAGTTCACATTATGCCAACGCCATGTTTAAAACGACCGGCATGTTACGTAACACACAGCTGAGGGAAAGACAACGTTTCCAGTAACATCATCACTTTTATCTTTCGAGCGACGTTTTTTCCTACCATTTCAAAGTTACTTTCGTATTTGAGAGATTAAAAATAGACGTATGGCTGAAAATAAAGAGTTGTCGAAATTTCTTAAGCCTTATCTCCAAAGCAAATCCTTGTATTGGCGCTAAAACTTGTAGGAAGCACTTCTTTGTGGGAGGAAGCTTTATAATGACGCACAATGGAAAGCACCAGTTGCTTTACATTTGTTACGGTTTTAATACGGTTTAATATCCAGATATTAGAATGTCGGTTTGAAAAAGAACTCATACTGGGTTTTAGAAGAAAATAATCAGCTACCATTGCTTTGGTTTTAACGAACACTTTCAAGTTTGCCCTCAGCTCGGACCGTGAAGCTGACAGAGCTGAAAATGAAGGGCTGACGCAAAAGACGTAAGCCTTCAAAAAACTCTTAAGTTATATTGAACGTTTCCAGCTGATATCAAATTATTTCAATATAGGTTTGTTACAAGTTTTATATCAGAAGGGTACTTAGAATGCACACGCCATTTGCGCAAGTAGTTAGTGACGCGAGTGGCGACGAAAAAAATACTTTCTATCTTTCAATTGGTTTCTTAAACACGCAAAGCTCATTTACGTCTTTTACTACGCAGATGATATTCATACATCGTATTTACGTGATATTGTTTCATTTACTAGCTCCTGAGCCTATCTGCAAATCTCTGAGCTTAGAGCTCTAAAGCGCAAGTCAAAATGTTCAAAAATCGAGGTTAGACCATTGTTTTGATGTTGTTTACATATTTTGACACAGATTAAGAACGAGGCTACACTGGGATCCAGGCTCCCCGTGCTCTTGGTCATAGTTTCCCGCAGTTAACACATGTTTTGAACGTTCATTCGGTAGTGACATCACTAGTTAAGCAACCACTTGGTTTTTTTCACGGGGAGTTCAGCAATTACCAAAAAAATTCCTGCAAGCAAGCAAGCAAGCAAGGGAAGCCATGGAGAAAACAAAATCGAGCAAGTGCTGCCTCCTATCCAAGTTCGTTTTTTGATGTTAAAAGAATTCTTGCACAAGCTATTACCCACCGAAAAACAACTATGCAAAACTTAAAGGTGCGAAAAAGTTCCCAGAAAATTGCCCAGCTCCCCCCACACCCCCCTTTAAAAAAATGGTCCATCTATTTGTTCTTGCAAGTGATTTTCTTTACTTGGTAGACGTTTATTGAGGAAAAACACTCACCTTTGGTCTCTTATAGCCACCAATTCCACCTGTTACTATGGTGACACCTTTTTCCTTCTCAATCTCCTTGATTTCATCAAATATCTTAGGAGATACAGTAATGTCCTACAAAGGAAATCAAAAAAAGGGATGATGCCAATTTATTATAATAATAATAATAATAATAATAATAATAATAATAATAATAATAATAATAATAAAAATAAATATTTATATAGCGCCTATCCATGCCTGCTCTAGGCGCTGTACAATTCGCCAAAATGAGCTGTACTAATCTTAATAAATAAAAATGTGCATTTAAGAAAGTAATAAAAAGTAAAAATCGCTAAGAATAGTAAGTTTTCTTAAAAATAAAAGCTAAATTACGCGAAAAAAGCGCGAAAAGCTAAATTACACCGAAAAAAATCTCACTGCAAGAATAAATAGTCCAAAAACCTTTTCTTTTAAACTGAAACGCTAAATTGCCATTGGAAATGGCTGTCTTGATCAATTATGGATAATTTATCTTCTGTCAAAATAGTAAGTTTGATTGATAATAACGACGTGTGTAATTTCGCAATATCTGATAACTTTTTTCAGCTGCTTGCTTAACTAAATAGAGTGAGCCAACCTTTCCTGGATATATCATGCACTGACAACCTAACTTTTACATTTGAAAGGCAGAAGAAGGTCTGCAGCTGGGGGCCTATTTCTCGAAAGCTCCGGAAAATTTCGGACCATTTTCTAATTAACCTGAATCTAAAAACAGAGAGTTGTATACGCCTGCAACTTCTTGTATGAAGAGAACATCTGTTCATATTAAAAATATGTGAATAAAACAGCTCTGTAATCATAAGAGTGGAAGATTTTACTATGGCTCAGTTTCCGAGTGCAAAAACATTTGGGACCTTCGAGAAACGGGCCCTGGTCTGTGCGCAGTCCGCAGATCCTCGATATCCAGAAAAAAAAATTCTTAAATTTCTGCCCCCGAGGGCTGCTGCGCGACCTTGTCCGACTTGTGTTTATTCCTTCGCCAATTGTTACAGCGGAAAAATTCAGTTTCAATTTTCTGGGCCAAGGAAAATTAATGGGTCGTTAGCTTGTCCCGTTAGCTTGTAGTCATGGCGATACGTTATTTTACTAGGCAACGCCTGTCCCAATCCGCGTGCTTTGTCAATTTTTGAAAACAGAAATCCAGAAACTTATCAGGAACGAGGACAGATGCAAATTTATTTTGATCCTTACGTACAATATTCGTTACTAGTTTTATAACAGTTTCAGAATGCTCAGAATCTCAATTTTTTTTTTTTTCATAAACATACCTCAAGAGACAAGAACTTGATGGTTCGATGTGCTTTGACGACATTCAATAGTGTTTCTACACCTCCATCACCTATTGGATTCTTCCCTATCTTCAATGAAAATCAAAAGTAACATGTTTACTCACTTGGAAAAAGAAGACTTTTTAAAGCGACACTGATATCTGTTTTCGCCTATGTTTTGCAGAATACCGCAACAGAGCTGTAGCCAATCAGAGGAGACATAGTGTTTTTTCGACCAATCAGGGTAGAAACGCGTTTTCCCGCGCTTGACACTGGGTGCATATTTTCCCGCGCTTGACAAAATGTTGCCTCAATATCCTAAAAGATGGTTCGAGCTTTTAAGTGTGTGGATTAAACCCTAGGCTTCCCCCTAGGCTACAATGTCAGACTCCCATTATGTTTTGAGTCACCTATTGCCTTAATCTTCACACCTGTAAAAACAAACTTAAACTGTGGGATAGCTGTATCAAAAACAGACAAGTTCACCCGTAACATCAAGGGCCTATCAAGCATACTAAACCTTAACAGGTATTACGGGTTTCGACCCTTAGTGACAGCCCTACAATGCCACCATTCAAACGAAAGCTGTTCAGCTGAATAAGCTTACTTAAATATGGCGTTGTTTGAAGAAATTGAAAATTTTTCTCACCTTCAGGACCTTGAGATTTGGATGAGAAGCTATTCCAAGGGCAAGCTTCTGAGTTGCGAGCAATCCAATACGATTGTTACTAAATGAAGATACAATGTTATCATTACAAATAATGATAATTGCGAATCCGTGATTTGACAAAAAAAAGATCGCAAACTAGAAAAGACAGAGGTTAGAGGAATGGAGGAACGAAAAAATAAATAGACAAAAAAGAGTGTGCAGAATAAATTACCTGCTAAAAATTTCGGACGATTTTAATTTCGGACAAAAAAGTGTCCGAAAATAAAACAGTACAAAATTTTTAAGCGTCCGAAATATTTTCAGTACAGTGTTAAGCTTTTAAGTAACTCCAAAGCTATTAGTTTCCTTTTTGGAAGGAACTCTAGTTGGGCCCCATGCTTTAGATACGTAATGACTTGATATAATTTGTACCATTTTCTCGTCGGTGTTTTCTCTCTGCTCGTTGGGAGCAGTTTAGCTATCATTTTCACAGCTGTTCTCTTAGTCTCTTTCTTGTTTTCTCTTTCTTCTTTCCACGTAAATTTAATTGTAGTAGCTAAGTTTACCAAAAGTGTTCGAAGTTTTTGCCCGAAATTTGTCCAAAATGAGATAAAAAGTGTCCGAAAATTAAACGTCGGAAATTTTTCGCAAGTAATGTAGTTAACATCAGATCAATGAACATCTTGGTGTCTAGCACTTCCAATTTCATGAATTGCAACCAAAAACTATAAAGAGTAACCATTTGCAGCTCTCAGCACAATCACTAATTGAGAATATTGTCAAAAGTAATGAAATAATTGTCAGTTTTTTGCAGTTCTCTCGTGGGCTTATGATTGATAGTACCTGATGTCGAGTGATTCTAGAGCTTCATTCTTCTTCAAAAATCGTCCCAAAGCAACACAGCCCAGCAAAGATAAGCCATTCCAGGATATGTTGAGATGAGCCAGACAATCATTTGTCTGAAATATAAACATCGGGTCGACAAAGAAAACTATTCAAACTTTGTTATTATTTATTTAATTTTATCTCTTTTATTTCAGTTATGCGTTTTATACATGAGCCTCTGGCTCGGATACTGAGGGCAACCTCAATCCCACGCAATGACTTTAATAAATTGATTGATTGATTGATTGATTCATCTGAACGAAACACTAGAATCTAAGAAATATCATGAGATCAGGGTGGTGCTCTAGAAGTGCCGGGTGCCACAGGCGACTAACTTTTGACTTTGAGAGACTGGAAAAACTTACCTTTTTCATAGATTTAGCACTGGGCACCCAGGATTTCATGGTTAAGAACCTTTGGGCTCTTCGAAATTTTTCTTGTAGGGTATGAATGAAAGTCCGTAAAGAGCTAAATAGATAGTGGTACAAACGGCTTGCTAACCTTTAAACCCTGTGCCATGCCTACAGCACCCTTAAATCTAATACAATTCCAGCTGACATCCAGATGTTTTAATCCATAGTTCATACCCTAGAAAATAAACAAACTGAGGTCAGTGGCTCTGATAGATTAGGGATGTTCATGGATTACACATCAAGAACGACGAACTAAGAGAACTTGGCTGCCGTGGAAAATCTGTCGGCGCGTATAAGGAAGAGCATCAGACGACTTTTGTTTCCTGATGGTTATGGGTGCTAGCAATTAGTCGGGCAGAAGCAGCGGTGATAATTTGTCAAGAGAAACTATCTGCTTTTGTACTTGTTGACTGGCAAACTGAGGGCTTCCTGCGTCTAATAGTTCATCTCGTTTTTAAATTAGATACATAAAACAGCAGACGCATAATTTGTCTGGATGGATGACAATACTTGCAAAAAATTTCGAACGATTTTAATTTCGGACACAAAAAGTGTCCGAAAGTAAAACCGTCCGATTTTTAAGCGTCCTAAGTTGTAAGCGTCCGACATATTTACAGTACAGTATAAATTTTTAAATAGCTCCAAAACTCTTAGGTTACTTTTATGGAGGGATCTCTAGTTGAGACACTGCTTGAGATGTGTAACGATTTGATAGAATTTGGGCTATTTTCTCGTCGGGGTATCTGTAACACCATTAGGGTGCAGTAAAACTATTATTTTCAATGATGTTTTTCAATCTAATTCGTGTTTTTTTGTTTGCCACAGATTTACTTTAGGTACGTTTCAACAAAGTGTCCGAAATTTTTGTCCGAAATGATATAAAAATCATGCGAAAATTAAACGTCGGAAATCTTTTACAAGTGATGTACGCGTCTCTAGTGTGTACGGAACTTTTGCTGGTTTAGATAACAGCTGTGGTGACTTCCTCTTACCAGTCCTGCTCCTAGATAGATGCCTCCCATCTCCCCAATGTCATTATGACTCAGGTCTAAGTATGTCAGAGTGCGATTTTCTTTCAGCGCGTCTGCAAATGCTCTGGCATCTTTGTCAGTCAAGTGATTTGCTAGTAGGGAGCAAATAAAATAAAGTCAACTAAGTAACTTATTTGTTCACCTGGACTAAATATTGAAGAAAAGAAGAGGTAGGGCAGGGATCAGGGCCAAATTCTCAAAATTGGCATGACGCTTATGCATGGCAAAGGGTAATGAGAATCCGCGTTTTGAGCTTGGCACTGAAAAGATTAACCGTAACTACAGTTCAACCCTATTAAACGGCAACCCTCAGGGAAATGGATAGTGCCCGCTTAAAGGGGGCTGGGGCTCGTTTCTCGAAGGTCCTCAAAAGTCTTTGCACCCGGAAAGCCATAGCAAAATATCAAACCTTATGATTACAGAACTGTTTTATTCACATATTCTTAATATGACGAGAGGTTCTCTTCATACAAAAAGTTTCAGGCGTATACTCCTCCCTGTTTTTAGATACAGGCTAGTAAAAAATGGCTCTCTGGGCCGGAAAAGTTTCCAGGGCTTTCGAGAAACAGGCCCCTGGCCGTTTAATAGGGGTAAAAACAATAGAAAAGCCCCCATGACTTCGATTACTGGCCGCCTAATAGGGCTGGCCATTTAATAGGGGTTCAACTGTACTAGGGTTTGGTCATCTTCTACTTACATCTTAACACCAGCTTCGTTAATGACTGATTCTTCAGTAACATGCTTGCAAAAGCCATCCCGCCCTCTGATCGCAGGAAGTTCTCTGACAAATTCTAGCAAAGAAATAAGTAATTAGTTGTAAGGGATGACACGTTTGAGAAGCGCAACAAATATTGACAATTAAAATTTAAAATCAAAGTCTTTGACAAACCCTGGTTCCCAAAAATTTAAACCTATTGTTATCTCACCTCTCTCTAAGAATTTAACCAAGCATCTCGCTTTTTGTCTTTAAGATAACTCTTTAATCACTTTATCATGTTTAACTTAATTGCACTCAGATAAATTTCTCCATCTTCTGGAGTGTTCTAAAAGCAATGTTTCACCGAAATTATCAGAATACAAAAAAGAATATATTTTTTATCTTTTATAAACAATTTGCTGTTTATTTATTTATTTTTACAAAATCATAATTTTTTAGCCCTGCAAGTGAATTTGACTTTTTAAAAGTTAAAACATGAATGAAACAGTTAATAAACAGAAGTTACTGTATTCTTGACAAAACGTTAAATAGAACTCACCAGCTAGTTCTTTTTGTTAACACTCATGATTTCAGTAACAACTGTCAGGAAATATTGACAGAGATTCAGTTTAATAGCCTAAAATAATATGCTCCTTGCATACACTTGATAATCACCTTAAATACTAGGCTACTAAGGAAATAAACGAAGTGTTACATAATAATTGTTAACTTCATTTTATCTTTTAAAATACTGATGTACTGACAAAGATTTTTACACATATCTTACAACTGTATATTACATTTTAAAACATAATTTTTAACAGAGGTTCTTTCACGCAGTTATTGCTATCAAGTAATTAATTAATTAATTAATTTATGAGGAATGAACATTTAAGGTATGAAGATGCAAAAAAAGTTGTTCTCCCATCTTGATCTTTTTCTCTATCTTACCACAAGCTGAGACAGTTAGTAAATGTTTTACAGTGAAATTACAACTGGCTTTATCAACTACCAGCTAAATTACTTCAGGACCTTAGAATATATAAATTCATACCACTTCTCTTAATTAACATGAACAGCGCTATTCTTTACCTGCAATTGCCTAGTCTTTACATCTCTTTCAGAAAGTGCTATACTGTATCTCCCTCCTAAGCAACTGGCTGTCTAACGAGCAGAGGAAATGCTTTCATGCATATGTAAGAAAGACCTTCCTAGAGACTGTACACAAAACAATGAAGCCATCCATCAAAAACTTTTCTCAAACTCATTAATAATTCATCATGCTTAAACAAAGGAAATCATGACTGTGAAGGTGTTTGGATGTCTGATCTTATTCAGCGTGGAATTTTTACTATTTTATTTCTCTGTTTTCTCCCTTAGTGTTAGTTTCAATTTGAGAAGATATATCACTCAAGACAGTACTTGACCACATTTCCAAACACCATGAAGTTTGTCAAAAACACATGTACTCTGCTACGCATCATATGTTCAACTCTCTTCACTATGTTTGGAAATGTGGTCAAACACGGTCTTTCGTGTTTGATATATTACATTAAATTCCCCTTAGAAATGTGAAATTGGGAATCACAAGAAGTGCATCAGTACACCATCAAGGCACATGGATCACCATGTATATGGTCATCCACATCTGCAGCAAACTTTTTCTTGTCATCTACAGATAGATCTCAGTTCTCATTAACCTTCTAACTGCATGTGTCTCACCAACTAATTTACCAATGATACTATACACTGCACGTGGTTCCTAAGGCTTCTTCTTGAGTTACTAGAGGGGGTGAGCATGCATAGAAGTTAACCTCACACAACAAGACACGACTGGCACTTCTAGTTTTACAGTACAGCATTATTAATAGCACTTTTACTGCAACGTGTACCATGTACTAGTAACTGTGCAGCTGCTTCATGTAAGAGTTATTTTACTGTGCACTGTGTAGAAGCTTACTATTTCAGTGATGAAGCAGTTATCCAGCAACATTCTTGCAAGTGCCACTCCCCCACCTGCTTCTATGTAATTGTCTGTCAAATCTAGCTTCTCTGTGAAGGTATTTTTCTAGCAAAAAAAATGAAGGGAAGAAGGTTGCTACAGGTAAATGTAGTTCTGGAATTGCAAGAATTAATATGAGCAACACCCGGGGAGGAGCAAAGGGTAGCTTAGGTGGCACTGAGAAAGGGTGAACAGAAAGATTGAAAAGGGGAAAGTGAATGAAACAGTTCCCTCAGAACCCTTCCCTTTTTCCTGAGTTTGTGATTTTTTTATGCTTCCCTTAACTCCATCCCTACATTTGCAAACACTCTTGGTAATGGAACTCCATGTCTTAAAAGTGTAAATCACGATTATACATTTTAATTTTCTACATACATGTGTCAGAACATAACATGAGAAAATTAAAGAAAACTGGATGCCAAATGATGCACATACAATAAGAGCTCTGGCAATTGGATATGTCCCATGAGATCCCAGACCATGATGCCTCATGATAACTTCTTTGCAACTAAACCGGTCTGACAGAAATGAAACTGGAACAAGATCTGTTGGGAAAAATCAATAGACTTTACATTCTTACAAAAATATTACAATTCTCATTTACTTCAAAACACATAACTTAAAACTAGAAGTTGAACTTAGACTGGATCAAAAAGTTATGCTATACAGTAGCTTGGAATGGCTCTTTTTCTTAAGCGTAAATACCTGGGAAAACTCATAGTACTCACTCCTTCCAAAATACATTAAATAGCTACCAGCAAATTGCTTGAGGAAATTTCAAATAAAAATATCACCCTTGGGGTAACCCATGATAGACTAAAAATAAAAATCCAAGGTAATTTAAGGCTTGGGGTACCTCACTGTTTTGCCAGAAAATGACAGTTTTCTGACCTGCACACTCTGATAATTGTTGTTAGAAGTGGAGGGGGTGGGGGGGGGGGAACATATTCAGCAAATGGGGGATGGTCCCTTGGTACTACATTTTTTAAGTGTTCCAAGGACATTTGTTCTGCACTTTTTGTTAGCATCACGTCCAGAGAGGATACCAATACCAGAGATGAGCATCAACACTGATAATGCCACATGAGTTCAATCCCTTAAATGGGGACAACATGTGGATTTGACTCCGGTTGGGTTCTCATATGTTTTCTTTGTCTTGTGAACATTCATTAAGACTGAATGTATATGACATTGCATATATTACATAAAAGGCCAGGAACATTATTTTATAAATATATTATCACCACAAGAAAATCATGTGAACACCACTTTTCTACTAGGTCTTAATTGCTACAGTTCAAGTTTCTTACCTTCCTCTTTGCACAACTTGTGGTAAACGTTTCTTCCTGATGGGTCAAACACCTTTTTGGTCACTAAAAATTAAAAACATATTACTGTTGAATTTAACAAGGAAAGATAAATGGCCCCAATGTTTAAAACAAAATGAGGCATGACATAACATTTGACAGGAACACATGGATTGACAATTTTGATTTTCACAATTCTGTAGTCTGGACATGCATTGTATAAAGATTCATTTAAGGCAGGGGTTTCATCAAGGGCCGAGCACTGGGCGAATTGACAGACTGCAAGGACAATTTGGCCTGCCTGGTTTGACCATCTGGCAGAAAGTTTTTCTGATAAAGAAGTTTAGTTCAAATAGTTTTGCCTACCTGCGAAAACCAGTTGTCCTCCTGCTAAACACATTAACAAAACCCCTGCAAGGTCTGTTCTACTTTTGGCTAAGGAGTGGAGAGGGAAGCAGACAACAAAATGTTTATCCATGTATTCTGATTTACCTGGAAAATCTTCCTCCAAATCTGTTTCATATTCTGAGCTTGCATCACCGTCTAACATGCTTTGGAATGAAGGGGAGGCAAGCGTAGTCACAGTTTGATCCTCATCTGATTCTGGAAGAGACACCATAGTAGAAACAGAGCCAGGAATGAGAGCACCAGCATTGAAGCCTGTGCGTCGACGAGGTAGTGTTGATCTCTCTCTGTCCACTGAACTCGTTGTCCGGGTTTGAGATATAGAACCCTCACCTTGTGAGCAATAAATCACATACCAAAAATTAATGTGATGGGAAACAAGCACACATTCTATATCTATGCAAGATACAATCTGTTTCTTAGCACGCATCAATAATATTGCAAACCTATAATACTTCATAATATATTAATTATTATGGTTAATTGCTTGACAAGCATAAGTAACATTCTGTCTGACATAACCCATGGCCCTCAAAATATTCTGGAACAAAATTGAAATTTTGAATTCTTGTAGCAAGACAAGAACAGACAAGAAACTTAGTGCGCAGGACTCTGGAATAAAACCTGGCAGGAGCATCAATGGACTCCTGAACCTGTATGGAATTGGTGGGAGCCTGGATATGAAAGCCTGCATTTGACTTTGCAATCTATGCATGACCCTCTTGACTACTAATTCTTGAAGTTATAGTGATGTATTTTTCCAGTGGTTATGATATTTCACAGTTCCTGGCCTGCCCCCTTTGGAATCCTGCTTCACGTCAATTCCTAAACATTCCCCTATTCTCTTGGGTTCTCAACCTTCCATCTCATTCATCCTTACCACTGACTACTGGCTATGCCAGGCTAGACATTTTAAACACCAAGTAAGTACAAATTTCTGACACAGTCCTCTTTCAATTTTATCGCATGAAACCCAAAACTCTATATTTTGTAAAACCAATACTGAATAAATATGTAACAACTTGTACTTCAGGATTTTTATAACATAAATATAGCTTACTTGTAGGGTCATTTCGCTTTGGCTCATTCAAATCTGTTGCATTTGTGCTTAAAGTGTCACCATCAGTTGACTGTACATTCTGTGGCGTGTTGTCTTCCCAAACAACTCTAGCTTTAGGTGCTTTCTTTGATTTCTGCGAGCTCTTGTTGGACTTGCTAGTGCTTTTACCCTTTGACGGAGTCTTTGCTCTAATGTATTAATGATGTATTAAAATCAGAACACCACAACAACAGCTATGAGTAGCTGTGTGGTGCGAAAAAAGGCAGCCGACAATGGTGGCCTCCTGGGGGTTTGGGGGTATAGGGGAAAATGATCATTTATAAATTATTTCAAGGAAGAATTAAAGGGCTATTCTATTAAAAGAACAATGTAACAGACAATGAGACCGAAAAAAATTTTTTAAGGGATCAGGTGAACACCTATCTCCTTTGGGAGGACCTAGATATGTATGATCAATTGAAAGTAAAATGGGGTGAAAACTGGCTTGGGTGACTTTATGCAGCCACTTTTTCAAATGAAATATTACTCACTTAACATTATCTAGGACTACAGAGTATAAAATCAAGTATCTAATATGTTACGGAAACAAAGAATCTTATCACTTCACAAAAAGATCAACGTGACTAATATTCCTATGTAAATATGGAAATAATGCATCAATGCAATGACCACAGTACCTGGAAATTTTATAGACATTTGGAGAAGTGTTATTTCCAAATGCAGAGTTTGGTCTGGAAATATTTGATGCAATGTCAAAGATACCATCCTTTTCATTATAAAGACCCAAAGAAGTCTGGGGTCTCGAAACATGACCAATGCCGGAGACTGGTTTCGGAGGTAATGGTGTTATTGCTCTACGATAAGACCTCTCTGCCGCTTGTTTCCGGGGTGAAATAGTGCCCTTTCCACCCTAGAAGAAAAAGATAAAATATAACCATAAATAAGTGACCCATGACCTTGTGAGGATAGAGGAGGTGCATTCTGGAGGCAGGCAAAGAAGTGTGTGTTTCAGAGTTCACATCTCATGACAGTACCTGTTGATCTGCATTAGAAGTGGAAAGAACTCTGTATTTCTTCCTGCTCAGTAAATGGCTGTTTTGTGTTGGCATTGTTTTGTTGAAGTCTTTAGTTGATAAATCATTTGTCTGTCATTTTGCTGGCCAATACCACATCCTAACGGAAAAATTATCCACCCAAAAAGCAAGCCACAATTTTCAGACCTTGTCAGGAGTCGTCTGGGGAACATGGGTGCCAGAAAAGTAAATCCAAAATAGAAAGTTGGCTCCACAGTAATAAATGTACGGTTTTCCATTACACTTTATTTTTTGTAGTTTATTTTTGTGTGTGTGCGAGGGAAAGCCAATTTGGGCAAGCTGATTCTGTGATGGTGAGAACTCTAAACCTGAAAGTTTCCAAGGGGTCTATTCTAACACGGCAAAAAAACAGAGAGATCAATAGAGGAAGCCATTTGTAATACAAGAATCTAACTGAGATAGAAAAGTTTACTGTTTTTGTTAGCTTCATGTGGTGATGCTTCATTAGTTTTGCATACCAATAATGACGCTATCATAACTCTTTAATCTGCTTTATTAAAATTAGTTCTGTTAATTAGCGTTGACTTCTAAACTAGCGCTTGAAAAACTTCTGGATTCCTGATAGTCTGAGAGCTAGCTCTCCTGTTACCATAAAAATGGAAATGTTCAAAGAAAGAAGCCAAGTAAAACAACAAAAAACCTGTGTTCGTCGCTAAACAAAGAATCATCTTCTAAAGCTAATGAGTGTGAAATTAACTTATTTATGAGCACTGCGCGCTTGCCGCGCTAGCTTTGATGAAGGACCAATTAAAAATTATTGCAATGAATGCAACACAGTTAAAGGAAACTCTTCGAGAATGCTTTAGCTTCTCACTCATGACATTTTCAAAGCCTGTTTTTTTTTGTATTTATATATATACAAATCCCGATACAAAGAACCAACAATCTCACCGTTCTTTGCGTCGTCGAGATGAGCTTGTCTCCATGTGCATTTAACCCGGGCGATTTTACATCTTTCGACGATTTCATAGTGAACAGGGTGAAACATTATTTCCTCTGCCTTCTTGACGAAGGTTTCGAGGCATTATATCGCCCAACAGACACAAAGAATTCCAAAAATGCGTGAAACAAAATGAGTCCCTCGCGGACCGAGAATGCATTCAAAAGTTTTTGTCACTAGTAAATTTCCGCTGGCATGACTGGGTTGTCAAATGACATGAGACTGAGTAGGGTGGGGGTGGGAAATTATGTATACTCCAGGTTTCTTTATCTTTAGGGGGTAAATTATAATATTTTATTTATTTGCGTTTATTTTCTAAGACATTTTTTTATAAATGAAAAAAGAAACAAATTAAATAAGAAAAGAAAGATCAATAACATGGTAATTTCACTCCTCTCCCCTCTCCTCTGTCCCCTCTCCCATCTCAAGATGTTTCGTGTTGCCGCGCGTGTTCGGTGGTGCGATGGCCGTCACGAAATCTTCCCCGTTTCTTGTTTCTCTGGAAACTGCTGAAGGACAAAAACTGCTAGAAGAAAGTCGATTTGGGCATTTACTTCCTTATTTCTGTAAGCAAGTAAATTCTAAGTACTGCGGACTCTGCAGCGCTGCTATTTGTCTGAATGAAATTCTTGACAAGCGACTATCCTTGAACAACTTTCGCGTGACGGAGAAAATTGACGAACTTGTTCAACTAAAAGAAACGAAGACAACCATACGAGAAGATGATATTCTCCAGTTAGGTGAAGCTAGATCAGTTCTGAGGAAAGAAGACGTCGATAAAGAGGGAATTACGCTCGAAACCTTCGCGAAACTCATCAACAGCGTAGGTTTGTATGGACGTTTTCATCACGTGTTCCAATCACATGAATCGACGCCAAGAACTTGTCCAGTGATTTCATCAGTTGACGAATTTCGATCTACTGTCTTAGAAAACCTGGAAAAGGCAGGATCTCACGTGGTGGTGAATTATCACTTCGCAGCTTTTTATCAATGGGTTAATTTGGGACATTTTAGTCCATTAGGGGGGTATCATTTTGGAGAGGACATGTTCTTGCTGTTGGATGTTTGGCCAAACAATCCAATTGGTTGGGTGAAGACAGAGAAGCTCTTCGATGCTATGACACCAGAAGATAGTTCTTCTCACTTGCCTAGAGGATTTTGCATAATTAATGCTGACTGAATATTCTAAAACGATTTTCTTTTAGACTGAGATAAATTTATTTTGGCCTTTTTGGCTTAAATGTTAGTAAATAAATTTGACCTCCTGCAGGCTCAAGAATTCCACATTTGTTTTGAGGTCATTGTACGCAGTATTAGGGCCAGTTTAGTTGAAGATGTTTTTCTTCCAAATGCCACATGCAATATGTTTGCGGCACCAGCTGAATCAAACCATCAAGTCTCACGCAAGTCAGGGCTGTAACCAGAAAAAAATATGACTGAGGTATGGTTAAATTCTCTCCCTGGGTATTTAGCAGTGTTTTATTCCCCCCTTCTGCCAAAAAAAAGAAATCAATGGAAAAAAAAAACAACACAAAAATGAAAAAAATGACTGAAGCAAGTGACTCAGTTTCCCTCTTACTGGCTATGGCCTTGCAATGTCCCCAGGATGGGTTGTAGGCAGAAATCTTACCATCAAATTCGGTCCTGAGAAATTTGACTTCTTAAAATAATCTGAACAGTAACAATTATGATCTTGTGAGATTTGTATGAAGTGATAGTTGATGAGCCTGAAGGCAGAATCAGCTATACTACATTAGTAGCCAGTGATGAGTGATGAAAGGAAGTCTTAGTGTCTAAGATCCTGGGAAAGTGAGATTAAGAACACCAACAAAAAAAATACTTGTATGCTCCCTCTGCACTCAGATATACAGTTGTATTTTAATATATTTTTTCTGAGGTTTCAAGAATTGTACATTCATTAATTACTATTATAAAAACAAGTGATTGATCATGACTGACCAAGTTAAGTTTGATTGAGGAACTGAACAGAAGACCAGCAATAGACATAGTAAGTATCATTAACGCGACTAAGTCTGATCCATTTATTTATTTCACAAAAAAAATGCCCTTGAAAAACATTGCAGACAACAAATGTTAATAAGCTTAAAATACATGAAACTCCCAAACATTCTTCCATCGAAGTTGAAATTGGATTGAATTCATATGATTCATTTATTTTTGCCCCCCAAAAAGCGAACTTTGCCCCGAGAAATATCTTTTTTCGTATGCACTCTATCAGCCAATCTGATTGGATAATGAGAGGGGACTCCAAATAAGGTGATTGTGATTTTTTTCTAAAATTTTATTTGATTGGTCAATATTGATCAGACCACTATGACCAACCATTGACCCGACCCTTGTTGTTGAGAAATATATTTCAAAGTTTGCTCATATTTCAGTTTCTCACGGAAAGAGTGTAGCCACGGTGGTTGAGATAGAGTTCTGAGGGAGTCTACTTAGAAGCGCTTGCTAGTCAGAGAGCGGCTACAGCCTGTGAAGAAATCACGGTCTTTTGTCGTCGAGTAGTGCACTCTTTCGATTGCGCGGGAATTTATAATTTTGTTACGTAAACCGCGTGAGTAACGTGATCAGCAACGTATATAAATATTGTCCTTGATCTTTTACGAATTACAATACATGGCAGAGCTACGGAGAAGAAGAACCAACATGAGTGAAATTGTTGCGAGTGAGACGGAACTTTGTGAAAGCAGTGGCACAATTGTTGAAAGCTCTGAATGTATCGGCGAATGTACCGGCAATGTCGTACAGAACAAAGGGGAAGAAGAAAGGACATTAGAATTACAAACTGAGGAAGAAGAAACGACATTAGAATCAGCCGACGTAACAGTGGAAAGCAACGACTCTGAAAGTATAAGTTCAAGTACCACCGAATATGAGAGTTGCAAAAGCCAAACATCGGAGGGAAGCAGCGAAGAAATTAACGATGGTTCGATCGGCAAGGGTTCCGATGAAGACTCTAACGAAGAAGAAGACGAGGACCTGAACGAGGACGGGACAGTGACGTGTGCTCTGCTCGGTCTTGAACAGGCCAAGGTAAGCTTCATGTGCTTAGCTTTAGATATTTTCTAAATAAAAGACCTATTTTATGTGTCGATCGCGATTGTAAAAACGAAATTTGTGACTGATGAAAAGTGAAAGCACAAACAAAGGAAAAGATAAGAACGCAGATGAACAGATTGTCAGTTTCACGAAATTTCTTGTTTATTTCACTGGATGTTTAATTTCAACTTTTACTTTTCGGGCGAAAACTACCAAATTAAATTCAGATTCAAAGTGGACTATGGCCTTTCTTAAACAACCACGAGGCAGTTCAGTGAGCTTCTTTTTTTATGAAATATTCATCAATTCACCTGCTATAGTATACGGAAAGTAGGCGTCGAGGACCTGACCGCCTAGACTGCCTGTAATATTGTATTCGTCACTCAAGCTGGACGTTCTGTAATAAAAACCACAAACAGTGGATATATATTTATAACTGTGGACTTCAGAAAGTATAAACAACCACCAAAGTTGTCCCCACGCTTTGCAACAATGCAAATTACTTGCGGCTGTTCAAGATGCCCCCCTACCTTATTTCTGGTCTTTATCTTGCGGTGCGACCAACTCTTTGTCTTTTAGACTACTAAACATCTTGCTGTAATTGGTGCCTAAGAGGTTCAACAATGCCTCATCTTTTCTATATTTTATATTCGGAGCTCACCATCTGAGAATTACAGGGGTGCATGTATATTTACAACTATACAAGGTTCAATATTGCTTCTGCATTCATAATCAACAATTTCATAAGAAAAGAGGAGATCTTCCAAAACATAAGCTTACTCAAAAAAGTTGTCATAAAAGTTATCAGAATTGCTTCATGCCATGACAACATGTACACAATCCAGCTTTTACACAGAATGTGGTCAACTGAAGTTGATGACTTGCTATGTTGTTATCTGAAATTTTTACATTTATGCCACCTGCGTAAAGACAGTGTTTTAAAAACAGTGTCTTTCATCACTCACCCTCTTTTTAAAAAAAACTGTTGCTAAATCTTTCATGTGAAAAAAGAAATTATTGTTATGCAAATCAAACTCAAATGATTGTGCTCCAGCGCGCTTTACGAAACTAATTAGGCAAAACTACAGAAGGCAACTTAGAGATTGCCAAGGGAACTTGAAATTGCTGTTTTGCATTGTTTGTATATTATGTTAAGAAATGTATACAAGCCTAAAAAAGAAGAACTATTGATCAGTGAATCTTTTCTTCTCATCTGCAATAATTATAAATTTCTCAGGAAACAAATTCTCACACTGCAAGTTTTTCTAAAACAAGGGTAAAGATAGTCTGCATATGAGCCAAGTGGTCTATCAGGCTGGAGCTTCTCCTCGTTTCTGTAGCATGAAGGGACTAGGAATATAGTCCATCGCAGGGCTACCCCCAGCATTAAATTTGCTGGTACCCATTTGTACACCTGGGGGGAAGAGGCACTGTGAAAGTTAAGTGTCTTGCCCAAGAACACTAGGCAATGTCCCGTAGCCAGGGCTCAAACTCACACCGCTTGATCGGGAGTTGAACACTATAATCATGAGGCCACTGCACTTCCACATTGCGAAAACAATGCACTGTAGAAAGTGTAGTGTAGAAAACTATTTTGACTTGGCAGTAATCAGGATTGTTATTTGGGATAGTTCATAGGAGACTTATTTATGAGTTCATAGAGGTACTACTTTTTTATGAGTAAACCTGCTGGCACTGTGTTCATTGCACTACATCTGTGCATGAATTATATTGCTTGCAAAGAAAGACCTTTCAGGGGATCACCTAGTGATGACCTTGGAATCTTTATCAAGAATCTCCTGAAACCTAGAAGCCGCCACAAAGATTGCTTCACGGGCAGCTATATTGTATTAATAAAACCGTTTTACTATTTAAAAATCCTCAGGCCTAAACATAAACCTTTTGAATTTTTTACGAGGACCTTTACTATTCATGCGTGAAGATACTGTTCAGAGAATGTGAAACTCGTGAACATATCTATGTAGGTCAACTGTATAATTTGGCTTTTGATAAAACTTGTCATTCCCGCTGCAGTAGTTATGCTTTGGACAAAGTGGCAAATAAATAGTTCAATTTACTAACTAGCTGTGGTACCATAGCAAATTATCATCAAGTGTTAAGCTTCACGAGTACCTGTTGAATTACACAGAAACTAATTAGAATGCAAATTGTAATCAATTAATAAATTATCAGTTGGTAGCATCTTTATACACACTATTCTGGTGGTTCCTTTGTACTCCTTACCTGCAGATCCCTTGAGCATCACTTGTAGTTCCAACACTATATCAATTATAAGCAGCCAAAAAAAAAAAAAGAACACCCACATATTAAATGATCAGTGAATCTTGTAACAAAATTTAATTTTCAGAGGAGTTGCATCACTGGGAATCTCCAATGGAGCTAGTAATCATAGCTGGTTTGTCCTCTTTTACTTTAATTTGTTTCTAATTCAAAGACACTAGAAAGTCCCACAGCAGTTCTTAATTTTCTTATTGTATCTGTAGTTTTGAGCGAAGCACTTGAGATAGAATTTGCTAGTGAAATGTATACAGTATCTAGTTTGCATTGACACATGATAGTACAACTGTACGCATTCAGATGCATTAGTTTGTTCTACAATCGGAGCTGTATAGTATCCTTATTAAGAACATTTCTTTTAGCTCCTTGTGCTTTCTAGTAAAAAATAAATATTGTTAAAGGAACTCTATTTTCTTTTAGTGAGAGTTAATTTCTTGTTGTGTTTTGCTAGGTCTTCATTGTCAAAGGAGAAGAGAATCTGCATGTGATGTTCCAAACTGTAAAGGGGAATGTTCAAGATAGAGCAGTTAAAATCAAGGGGAACATGCACGACGCAGCTGAGAAAATGCAGGACAATATGCATGAGGCTGCAGAGAGGATGCATGTGATGATAAAGTCGACCAAAGAAAACATGTCTGATGCCGCGGAAAGGGTTCAAGTGATATTGAAAACGGCAAAAGACAATGTGCAAGAAAGCATGCATGATGCCGCTGACAAAGCGGAGAGAATTTCCAAGAGGGCAATTGAATTAGCGCGTTCAGGATGGTACCTCCTCTCACACTTTGAGCTTCCAGAATGGCTGCGCGATAATGACTTTTTATCACACCACCACCGACCCCCCATGCCATCATTTAGATCCTGCTTTAAAAGCATTTTTAAAATTCACACTGAAACTGGCAATATCTGGACTCATTTGATCGGTTTCCTTGCCTTTATTTGCGTCACAATCTACATGTTCTTGCGGCCGATCACCACTGCCAATCCCTTTCCCAAAGACTGGCAAGAAAAGCTTGTGTTCGGAGCATTCTTCGCTGGTGCAATCTTGTGTTTAGGGTTCTCATGGATCTTCCACACTGTCTACTGCCATTCTGTCACGGTGTCCAAGGTATTTAGCAGGTGAGCTAATAGGTTTTGTAAAAGAAAGTCGATGTACATATAAAGTCTGTGTCGGGGCAGTGGTCCATGCAGCTGGAGCTTATCCTCAGTGGTTTCTGCAGCATGAAACAATAGGAGTATTTTTACTCCCCCCTCGGAGGGAATGTTAGTCCATCATAGGTTTACCTCCCAGTATTAAATTTGCTGGCACACATTTACATACCTAGGTGGAGAGAGGCACTGTGACAAAAAAATGTGTCTTGCCCAGTAACTCAACAGTGACCCAATTAGGGTTCAAACCTGGACTGCTCAATCTAAAGTCCAGCAGATTAACCATTAGGCCACCTTACTGCCACACATACCATATACCAAGGTCTACCAAATTCAGTTGTTCCTGGAAATAATAACCTCTAGGTACTGGTAACCGCAAAGCTTCCTAAAAGTGAGGATTACATTTACAGCGTAGAAGACTTGTACTTTCATCAGTATAACATGTGCTGTACATGGAAGGTTTAACTATTGTTAGATGTGGCTTGAAATGCAGTGTGTCAGAGCAACATTTGGATCTAATTAACAAATTGATGTCAGTTCTTCAAAAATTTTGTCTTAACATTGTCAAAGTAGCTGTGGATCTGCAAAGTACTTTGACAATGCTATGACGAAATTCATTGTCAATAACAGGACAGGTGCATGAATAACTAATGTCAATTTGCGTTTTACAAGAATAGCAACATTGCATAATTTTAAATTCATGTGTCTGTCAGCGTATTGACAATGAAAATTACCCAATAAGCACACAGGAATTTCTGCAGTTATTGTAAAAAAGAAACTGACAGTTTTGTGCAATTTTGCTTATTGCAGGCTTGACTACTCAGGCATAGCACTGTTGATCATGGGCTCATTCATTCCTCCTCTTTACTATGGATTCTACTGTTCAAGAGTGCTAAAGATTGTGTACATGTCGATAATCTGTACTCTAGGCATCTTGTGCATAATTGTTTCGTTGTGGAGTAAGTTCAACACACCCAAGTACCGAGTACTGCGAGCAGGTGAGTGCTTTTAGTAGGAATTATATTAGTGTGCATTATTGAGACCCTGGTGTAGAGCCATTCAAATGAAAGCCAGTTGAGCAATATGTTTTATGTGGTATTGTTTATTATGCTGTACAAGGTGGCTCTAACTTTTAAGTTTGCTAAATTAAACCCTAGTATCTGACCATTCAAATGAAGGTTACTGAGCAGCACTTCTATATGGTATTCATTATGACTATTTAAATAAAGGTAATAATTAACTGAGCAGTACTATATTGTGATGTACAAGTAAGATGGTTCAAACTTTTGAGTCTATGGATAGAACCCTAGTGCATGTCCATGTTATCAAAAGCTACCGAGTCATTATTTCGTACTTTTTTACCTATTGTTTTACTTTTACTATAGCTGTGTTACTTGTAAGTTGTAAAAGGTGGTGTTAATGATAAGGTCTGGCAATGCCAGGGCAATCTCTAAGTGTAAACTGAGTCACTAAGGTTTGTTGTTTGTTTTTCGTTAGGTCTTTTCCTTACATTTGGATGTTCTGGTATTGTGCCTGCTATTCACTTCATGGTAGCACATGGAGTGACCCTGGCTCACCGTCAGGCCTCAGTAGGATGGATGGCCCTCATGGGTCTCTTGTACATTCTTGGCGCCATCATGTATGCGACCAGGATTCCCGAGAGGTTCTTTCCCGGGAAGTGTGATATTTGGGTGAGTATGTCTCCTTCATTTGCTTTGTGACGTCCTATAAGAGTTCTCTACAAGTGGCCCATCAGGCTGGAGTTAATCCGGGTTTTGGTAGCATGAAACAACTAGGAGTATTTCTACTGCACCTGGATGGGATGCTAGCCCATCATAGGGTTACCCCCGTCATTTAATTGAACCCTGTATCCATTTATACAACTGGGTGGAGAGAGGCACTGTGAGAGTTAAGTGTCTAGCCCAAGAATACAACACAATGTCCCTGCCAGTGCTTGAACTCGGATAGCTTGATTCAGAGACCAGCGCACTAACCATGAGGCCACTGCGCCTCCCTTGCCAGCACAAGAGTAAGATACCAGCCAAGCTCAAATGCAGTTGTCTCAATCGAGTCAGCATACCCCTCACAACTTTGAAAATAATTATGTAACTTCTAATTTTCACATATGGATGTTTCTCTTTTTTCAATCAGTTCCAGAGCCATCAAATATTCCACGTGCTTGTTGTGATGGCGGCTTTTGTCCATCTGTATGGCATCTGCCAAATGGCATATTACAGGTTCGACCAGGGAGCAGTGTGTGAAAAATGAACTTTCTGGACACAGTTTGGTGGCTAAGCTTGAACTAGTGTTAAACAACATGGTATACGTCAAAATGTTGTAGTGTAGGTGTATTATGTTGAAATAATAATTGTATGTAGTTCTGTCTAACAGAACATTGCTGTTATCGGCTAGACTGGT